GCCTTTGCATGAGCTGGTGCATAAACAGCTGAGCTAAGGGCAGGCCCCTGACAGCACAGTCCTGAGAGGCGTCCTGCACCAGTTGGCGGGTTCTTAATAACAGCTTACTTAATTTGCATCCAAATCACTGTCTACATCTGTCTAGACTTGGACACTGTTCTGCCTGGCAGTTCGTGCTGCAGGCGGTGGCTCCTGCCATGCAGGCCACACGCAGGGTGCTTGGGAGGGCGCTGGCACCATCTGAAGTGGCCAGTCCCTGCTGTGAAGCCCCCTTGGTGTCTGTCCTTAGTGCAGGCTCTGTAGCTCAGTGTAAACAAAAATTTCACGGGTGTCTGATTTTGGCTTTATTGGAAGCAGAATAGTAACTGCCCCCTGGCCAGCTGTCAGCATAGCCTCCCGGTGAGCAGCTCCACACCACATATCCTCCGCAGACCTGTGGGCACCATCTCTGCTCCAGGGCTCGGGGCTTCCAAAGCCAAGCCCGGTCCTGCCTCACAACTCCCCTTGAGGCTGTTGGAGGTGTAGATGGCAGGGGTTTCCCTGGTCCCAAGTCAGGGAGTCCTAGGCAGCCAGACAAAGCTTGGTGAACAGGGTTGCATATGTGGTCTGCCATGTGGGCATCGGAAATCACGGTGGGCAGGGCTGCCCGGGTGGGTACTGAGGGGGCTACGGCTGCAGGCCTGAGCCTGAAGATCTTATCTTGTTGCCTGCCTCTCCACTCTGTGTGTCTTCCAAAACATACTGAGTTTGGTTCTTTTGCATCCTCGCTTTCCGGTGCACATGTCGGTCAGAGCTGTGCCCTGATCTCCCTACCGTCTCCCTCCTCCTGCCCAGTGATAATTCGTCCTGTCTTCTGTGGGCACACAGGTGATCAAAGTTGTCCTGCTCTCTGAGTGGCCACTGGGGAGATGTGAGTTTGGCTAAAATGTTTCATAGACACCGCCACCACAAAGGGGCCCAGCAAACAGGGCACAGGCTAGCTCTGGACAGGGCTCCTCCCCCCAGGATGGCAGGTCCACCCTGCCCCACCTTTCCCATCTTCCCAGCCACCAAGTGGCTGCTGTGCAGGGAGACGGCGTGGCAGACATAGACACCCACCTACCCTACTGCTTGTCACAGGGCATCGATTTCTGCCCTGGGCAGAACATCTCAGGAGTCACCACCCACACTCAGGAGGAACATACAAAGCTGCCACTGCTCTTTCACCTGGGGCGTGACCCTGGAGAGAGGTTCCCGCTCAGGTGAGTCCGCTGCAGCTGTGTTCTCCAGGGTTCTCTGTGATGGCAGCAGGGCCTGTGCTCCTGTGCACCAGGAAACTGGCCTCAGTCCTCCCCTGGGGAGTAGTCCCCACGTGGAGTTGGTGGTGCCCCCTTCCAGGCTGTAGTTCATCATAGCTTGAGCGGCTGTGTCACCCGCTATGAGCTGCCATGCTGTGGTAAGAGCAAGGGTGGAGGCCAGGTGAGGGTGCAGGGGGTGCATCCCATACTGACACCCTAGTGCTGGCAAAAGCATCGCTCTGAGCCCAGGTTGCAGGAACAAAGCAGCTGCAGGTAGGTCAAGACACAGCTCACCAGAAGTAACTGGGGACTTGGAGCTCTGTCCCTAGGCTCCCAAACCCCCATCCCAGCCTCGCCAAGAGACTCTAGCCTCACAGCCACCAATAAGCAGGGTGACTGACCCTCCCACCACCCCGGCCCCACCAGAGCTCCCTGTCCCTGTCCCAGCACAAGGCTTCTCTCACTGAGCTGTGCTGTGTCTGTATCCCAGTGGTTCTCCAGAGTCCCCACCCCACCGGTCCTAGGGACACTGAGGCACACTCTGTGGACAGTCTCCAGTGTGGGACAGGCTAGGGTTTAAGCAGGGCCAACAGGAATCAGGGACAGAGCCACAGGGCACCATGGCCCCTAGAATGCACCATACCCCCTAGAATGCACCATACCAAGCTCCTGAGCCTTACAGGCAGCCACTGAGCCCAGCTCTCCAAGCCCCAAGGCAGGGGGAGGCTCCTATCCATGGGACCTCTTGGCCATACCAGTCGCCTTTCCACAGGAGCCCCACTGGCTCCAAAGCCCAGGATGATGACCACATGCAGAGAGGGTTTGGTGGACAGAGGCCCCAAGTCCATGTCTACCCAGCACCTCACAGTATGGTTTACGGAGCTAAGGCCTTTACAAATGTAACTGAGGGGCTGGGGAGATAGTTCAGTGGCATAAGTGCCTAAGTGCCTGCCTGGCAAGCACAAAGTCCCAAGTTCAATCTCTGGTACAAAAAAAAAAAAAAAAAGATAGGGCCAGAGAAAAGGGAAGGCACCAAAGGAGACAGCCACTTGGGCTGAGGAGGAAGGAGCCTCTGGGGGCTTCAGCGGGAGCACCCCACTGCCCCATTGCATTTCAGCTTCAAACTTGGGATCCAGGACTGGGAGGGGACAGGTACCCTCTACCTTGAGCCCCCAGGGCAGGCACAGATGGAAGTGGGGCGCTCCTCTGGGTTCCCACGGACCCCTCAAGGACTGCCACACCCACAGGTGTGTGCAGCCCAGCACTGTGGTGCAGTGGACTTCAGAGCCAGGCTGCCCTGGAGCAGCCTGCACAGTGTGGGTGCAGGCCCAGCCACAGCATACCAGACGGCCCAGGCACCTGCACCTGAAACCCTAGCAGGCCATCAGGAGCTAGGGACCACTCGGAGCTGGCATGCACTCCAGCCTGCACAGTGCAGCACGGTCCACCCCTGCTCCTTCCTGTCAGCACACCAGTTGAGGTGAATGGTCCTCCCTCTACAGCTGAGGCTATGCCACAGTTCTCCTGGAAGACCACGGTCCCTGAGGAGGACACAGCAGTGGGCCTCAGACGTGGTCACCGCAGCGAGCTGCAGCAGGAAGGTGATGGCTGCCACACAGCATTGGGAATACAGGGAGGCCTCCGGGCCAGCTGACCACAGCTGCACCAAACGCGTGAGGCCCTAGAATCCTGCAGACTCCATGCATGAGGGAGACTGGAGGGCACGGTCCACAGGACAGGCCACCCTCAGGTGCAGAGGAGTTCGCATCGCGTGGCCCACCTGAGCTCCACAACTTAACACAGCTGCCATGGCGCGAGGTGTGCTCCGGGCCCCATTTCCTCTCAGCCGGAGGCATCTTGCCATTAGCTGTGGTGCTCTAGTGTGGACAAGTGGGGTCTCCAAGGGAGACGCCTTCTGAGTGAGCGGCTCTGTCATCCCCAACCAGGTTCCACCCTATGTGAAGTGGCAGCTCCGTACCTTGTCACCTGCATGCTGGTGATGGCAGGCACGATTTAAAGAGCAAAAAGACATGATCCCCAGGGAGTCCCCACAGGGTTCTGGCATCTTCCTGTCTATCTCCTGGCGCCCCTTGGAGCCCAGACCTCCAGGCCCCGTAACAAGCAAGTCACCCTGACAGGGACAGAGCACGAGACAGCCATGCTCATAGCCTCCCTCCCAAAGCTCAGCCTCCTGGCCCTCGCTGTTTCTGCCCACCCCATGGCCCGCACAGCACTAGACTTTCCAGCTGGGCCTCCTGAGCCACCCCTTCCTAGAAAGTCCACCACTTGCAACAGAGCCAGAGAAGCTGCACTCCTAGTGACCTGGGCTCCTTTGTCTCCAGCTTTGCCAGCGCTGAGTACCAGGACGCCCTCAGCAGGATCACCCTGGCTGTCCAGCAGCACCAGGATTCCTTGGTCCCTGGACAGCCACAGCTCAATGTGTGCAACCAGGCAGTCATGGTGAGTGGTATGCATGCGGGCCATGGGCCAGTACCCCAAGTGCCACAAACCTCCATGGCACTTGACACAAAGCCATCAGGCTGAGGCTTGCTGGAGCCACATGCCTCAGAAGGGCAGTTGTGTCCTGGGCATGAGGTAGACCTGTTTCCCTCTTTTGTGTGGGCACCAACAGGGTGAAAGGAGGCTCCCTCAACCCCCTGCAGCTGCAGGATGAGCCCAAACCTCACGGGACTGTGGTAGCACAGGCCTGGGAGCCCCTTCCAGCCCTGACCTCAGCCTGGCCTCCCTCCTTGCCCTGTCCCTTCCCAGGGAGGATGCCCTGTGTCAAGTTCCCTGGCAAGGTGTTAGTGTCCCCCTGCCGAGGTGGCAGTGAAGGTGGTGCCCATACTAGAGCCAAGTGGATGGGGAGGGCCTCGAGGCCTGGGCGAGGACAAGCATCTGGAACCTGCAGCCGGCTGAACTTGGCTTCAATGTCTTTCCTAGAACTGGGCACCCCCAGGCTGTGAAAAGCTGGGCAAGTGCCTGCCGCCTCCAGAGCCCGTCCTGGAGAAGTGCTACTGGCCCCATTAGCACCTTCTTGGACCCAGGCCAGGCCCAGAAGCTCCTGCCAGTGCCTGAGGGAAGGAAGCATCCCAGGTGCTCTGCCTGCCCATGGGCAGGCAGAGGGAACCCAGGACCAGCAGCAGGGCCTGCCAGCTGCGCCTGGCCCAGGGCTCCGTCCTGGGTCTGCAGGGCTTCGGTGGTTCCTGTACCTCTTCAGTCCCGGCGTGGAAGGCCACCCATGACAGTTCTGTGCCTGGCCCACGATGCCCAGGGAGGGGTGCTGCCTACCCAGCCATCAGGATTGTGGGCAGCCGACGACACCACGGAGCCTAGAGGACCAGAGCCAGGCACGTGGGAGCAGGGTCCCTTCACCTACCCTGACTGACCTGACAACACTGGATCGCTGCACGAGTTGGGAAATGACGAGAAATAAAGGAACTGGGGCGCTTCGGCTGTGCAGTTGTGGTTTTTAACCAGCGCGTGGTGCACTAGACCATCAGGGCCCGCCCACGTTGGAGCCTCGTGCTGCCCCACTCCCCATACATGCTCGCGGCTGCTGACGCGTAAGGAACGGGTGGAGCGGGCCGACGGCCGGAGCACCCGCCCACCGCAGGAGCCCTGCCTTCCCGCCTGTGTCACCCCGCCCTCGGCTCCGCCCCTCTGGCCCGGGAGCCCCGCCACGCTCGTAGTCCCGCCACACGCGGCCATGGCGGAGCCCGAGCTGGAGCTGGTGTCACGGCGTATCCGCAGCTTCCCCGACTTCCCCATCCCCGGCGTGAACTTCAGGTATGGATGCGGCGGCCTGGGCCTGCACAGCGCTGCTCGGGCATCGGCTCCAGGCTCGGCCTGGGGTCCGGCGGGCCGGATCCTCGTCCCCGGCAGTTCGCGTCACCAGCCTGTCCTTGAGCAGGGACATCTCGCCCCTCCTGAAAGACCCCGAGTCCTTCCGCACCTGCATCCGCCTGCTGGCCGGCCACCTGAAGACTACGCACGGCAGCAAGATCGACTACATCGCAGGCCAGTGCCCTTCCTCCACTGTGTTCCCACTACGTCTTCTCATCCCTCCGTGTGCCCCGCCTTTCTTTTTCCTGGAGCCCGCAGTGGGTCAGCCACCCCTGCCCCACCTCCAACCTCTGATCTCTGACCTCTGGCCTCCCTCTTCCTACTGTTGCCGGCCCCGCCCCATCCTCGGTGTTCAGGTCTGCTTTTCCTGCCTCTGGGTGTCGCTGATGTTAGCCTGCTACCAGAGGTTTAGGTTCTGTAGGGCTGGGGTGCTTGGGAAAGGGCTTTGGCCATGGGAGGCCTTGGGTAGCATAGATGGATCTTAGGGCTAGATCTGTCCCCTCCCTAGAAGGCCTGCTGGGCTTCCAAGGTTGCTGGCTACATTGTCTCCCTAGGCCACCCGGCCCCCTTCCCGTTCCCTTAGCCAAGTATATTGAGCTGTGTCCCAGGCCTGGCCCTTCAGTAAGATCCTTGAGGGCTGCCTCATATGAGGGAGCGCCCAGGAGAGGGTCAGGGAGAACAGGTGGTCCTGGCAAGTCTGCCCCACCACACCAGGCCCACTGCCCCAGGGAAAAGGAGGTTGTGCTAGGGCCCTCCCCCTCACTTCCTGCCAGGACCGCAGTAAAGTCCGGTGTTTGGGTGCCGGGAGCTAGCCTTGTCTCCCTGGAGATGGCCAGGCTGGCCTTGACCTCAGTGACTCCCAGACAGGCACTGCAGTAGAGTGGCAGAGCTGTCTGGACACTGCTGTCCACTGTAGGCCTGAGCTGCCAGAAGTTGGGCAAAGTCCCCAGAACCACTTACAATCTCAGCCCACAGAATCTTGAGGTGACCGACATTAGGTGCCCATGTTACTATAGCTGCTGTGTGCTCCTCCAGCTTGGCCTGTCATGCTGCCATGCCACTGCCCAATGCCCCTGTCGCAAACCCTACAGGCCTGGACTCCAGGGGCTTCCTATTCGGCCCCCCGCTGGCACAGGAGCTGGGCCTGGGCTGTGTGCTCATCCGGAAGCGTGGGAAGCTGCCAGGCCCCACCGCGTCCACCTCCTATGCGCTGGAATACGGGAAGGTAAGTGGGCAGAGGAGGCCAGCAGAGGAGGGCAGGGCTAAGCTCCCTCAGCCCCTGGGAGTTTGGGAGCCTCAAGCAGAGCCCCTGTGGTTGCAGCAGAGGTGGAGGCTGAGAAGTTTCCATACTAGGCCATACTCGCCCAGCCAGGGAATGTCAGGGTGGGACTGGCCCAGGGAGGAGGCCCGATGGCAGTACTCGGGCTCCATGGTACCCTTTCCTCTGCAGGCTGAGCTGGAGATCCAGAAGGATGCCCTGGAGCCGGGCCAGAAGGTGGTTGTGGTGGACGACCTGCTGGCCACTGGCGGTGAGCCTCCAGCACAGGGCCTGGGGAAGGGTCTGAGCACTGCGGCAGAGCAGGTGCCAGCCTCTGCCTGGCCAACCCCCTCCCTTCCCACCCCCAGGAACCATGTGTGCAGCCTGTGAGTTACTGGGCCAGCTGGGGGCCGAGGTGCTGGAATGCGTGACCCTGGTGGAGCTGACCTCGCTCAGAGGGAGGGAGAAGCTGGGGCCAGTCCCCTTCTTCTCTCTTCTGCAGTATGAGTGAGTCTTCAACTGGACAAACCATTCACCTGTGCCTTCAGTGACCTGCAGGGGCCACCAGCTGTACTGCTGTCATTTCTACCCACTGATCATCTCGTTGGAGTGACCAGTGACACAGCCAGACAAAAATCAGTGAACAGCCTGCTACCCACGTCTCCTATTCTCAGATGCACTCTCCATGGCAGCCCCAGCCCAGATGGGTACAGGCCAGGCAGTGCTCCGCACCTCCTTTGTACCTGTCCCTCCTGGATGGCCAGGACAGTCTGAGAGCCCACTGTACAGGCATGCAGACAGGATGGGACTCAGCCGCATGGCCAGCATCACTTTCTTGGGCTTCCTGTGGTCACCTAACAGTTGCATTTAGTGGTGACAAGCCAGCTCCTGCTGCTCTGTGCCCTAATTTGAGGGTCCCCTGGTGACATGAAGCCACCTGGGTAATCCAGAGGCACCCCTCCATCTCATGAAGTCTTGTCACCTAAATTCAGCACTGCTGTGACAGCCCACCTGCAATATATTATGGCTTGAGTCTAGATGTTCCCCCAAAGCCTCATAAGGTTTTAGCGCTTTTTCAGTGGTGGGGCTGAATCTAAAGCATGTTGTTGAGCTACAATACAGCACTGGGACTAAGGGTTGGAGATTGCTGGCCTGGCCTGACTGGGTTGGCACTGCCCTCCCCCAGCAGACTGGAGACAACACAAGGCAAAGGCTCAACTCCTTCACTTGCTGCTTTTACTTATCTTCTGCCATGAACACCGCCTCTGCCATGTGCCAGCTGATTACAGGCTGAAACAATTCTATGAACTAAGCCAAATAAACCTGACCTCTTTAACTTCCGTTGCTGGGTATTTTCTCAGTGAGAAAAGACAGGACCTAGTCTACCATCACAGGGAACAGTATTCCAGAGGGAGCAAAATTTTATTTACATGTCATATAACTTGACTCAGGCTTTATAAAAAAGCCACTAAGATTAGAAAATAGGCTGTCCTTCCAAGGCCTTAGGTATTTAAAGTCTGAAAAGGTTAAACTAGAAATAAGCAAATCATGGGGCCGGGGAGATGGCTCAGTGGAATAAGCACTTGCCTGGCAAGCACAAGGGCCTGAGTTCAATCCCCGGTTCCACCAAAAAAAAGAAAAGAAATAAGCAAATCAGTCACACCTCAGGTCTCACAGGTTATCCTGGCACAAGACCTAGGAAATTAGTTATCGTCCTTCTACAGTAAGTTAGACTTCGTGCCACTGCTCAGAACCTGATCCTTTACCCAGCTGCTGTGCCAGGAGGTCCACACCACTTGTGGGGTGCCCAGCAGGCCTGTGAGTGGGCGTCAGAACATGTCCCCATAAGGTCATAGTTCACAGCGCCAGGACACGGATGGAGGGGGCACTGCCAACCACACTGCTAGCTCCACACGCCACCTGTGCAGTCCACCAGGTGCTGGGCCCCCTTCCTGCCGGCAGCAGTGCCCAAGGACTGTGGAGCAGGCAGACAGCAAAGACAGCCCCACAAACAGATGCAACACCAGCACACTGTAAGACCCAGAGTCCACGCTGGCAGGAGGTCCAAGCCATGCAGCCGTGGCCCTCAACATGGATGCATGCTGACAGCAGTAAAAGGGGTCACTGGGCCTCCTCAGCGCGGGCCTGGCGGGCCAGCCGTGCAGTGATGCTGGCCAGGTCGGCAGTCTTGTCCAGCTTGAGGTAGGTGTCAGTGCGGATGCGGTGCAGGCTGAGCCAGTCAGGCAGCAGCTCGGCAAGGAGCAGCAGGTGCCTCTCCATCTCCCCTGCAGGAGGGGGGCAAGTTGAGTTCCCCAGCCCTGACTCCACCTATCGGCAGGGCTACTTTAAAAAGCACTGAGTGCCTACTGTGTGACCACCTCCTCACAGGACCTGGGCAGCCCCAGGCTGTGCCCTCAGCAAAGGGGCCGGGGGGCAGGCGACCCCAGCTGAGGTCCCAGCACTTGGAGCAGGGTCCCAACCCCAAAGCCTTGGGCAGGCAGTGAGCAGTGGGGATAAATGGGGTGGACACTGCTAAGGTCTGAACTGTTGCAAGGACCACGGGAACAGCAGGTTCATGGGGCCAAAGGAAGCTGCAAAGGGAAGCTACAGAGCTCGGCAGGGCTTGGGGGTCCTGGGGCCCAGTGCCCACATACAGCAGGTGCCCACTGAGCACCAGGTGAGTAGACTGGGTCCATGCAGCCCCAGGGGCAGGGCTGTGCCCACCCTCAACTCCACCTGACCTACACATACCCAGGCTCAAGGTGGCTCTGCAGCTGCCCACCATCCTGGCACAGGCCACTTCCATGGTGAGTGCAGGCTTGCGCTCAGCCACAAACACACCGCGCAGCACACGTGCCAGCTCAGGCAGCCGTTCAAGCCGCTGCAGCTTCAGCTCAAGCTCTGGGCGCCGCGTCATTTGTGCCAGTTGTTTCTGGACCTCTTTAGCACGGATCTGCAGCAGAGAGGATGCAGGTCAGCAGCAGCAGATGACTGTGAGCGCCACCCATCCCGTCTGCATCCTGGGGACTCACCCGCTCCAGCAGGGCGTGGGGCACACCCTTCAGTGCACTGGGAGGGACAGTGGGTGGGCTGGCAGGGCTGGCTGGCAGTGCCAGGCTGGGGGACCCAGGGCTGCTGGCCTCTGCTGCACACACAGCTGCGTGACTCAAGGCTTTCTCCATCTGTGGGTCACAGGGGAGAGGTTGGCAAGCAGTGTGTGGCTCCTCCTGGCTCTGCCCTGAGCCCGCCCGGCTCTCTGGGCCCAGCGCTCAGCAGTGCTCTGGCGTTAGGCCCTAGCACAAGTCACAGGGTGCTCAAGGAAAACCTGAGGGAGGCAGAGTGTGCTTGCAACGCTAGTAAGCAAGGCCCACCCCTCTGGGTTACCACCCCAGGACGAGCTAAACATGGTGTCAGATCCCCAAGGAGGCACCACAGGTCTGGCCGGGCCACCCTGCTCTCTCCACAAGAAAGGGGTTCAGTCAGGGCCTAGCCAGCCTTACCCTGGGCGACATCAGGCTGCGGGCACGGGCCAGCACCTCCTGGGCAGTGGTGAGCTTCTTGGTGGTGGGCGGCTGGGGCAGTTCAGCTGGCTCGATGTCAGGCACATTATCCACGTTGAAGCGCGGGTGCCAGCGGGTCAACTGGTCCTCGGGCACAGCCATGGGTGGGTGCAGGGAGGCCAGGAAGGCCTGTTGGAGGAGCAAGGGATCACCTGGCTTACTCTGCCAAGCAGAGACACACACTACCCAGCATGCAGGTGCTGCTGAAGTGCTTCCGGGGTGCTGTCAGCCCTGAGCCCACCAGCCCACTGCGTAGGGAGGCGGCAGCAGGAGACACAGTAGCCCACACAGCCAGTTAGGAGAGCGCAACAGCTGGCTGCACGAGGAGCGGCCCTGGCAGAGCCAACATCCTCTGGCACCAGGGCTCACCTTGTGGTGTTCCTTGACCCGGTCCACCAGGTTCTGGCTGAAGACCTGTCGCCGCTGTAGCATCCTTGAGGCTGTGAGCTGGGGAGTGGTGCCTGCAGCCTCTGTGGGCAAGGAGTCCAGGCTGAGCCCTGCTCCTAACCCATCCCAGCACCCCCTGCTCAAAACATGGGGTTTCAGGTGGGGAAACTGGGGCCAAAGAGTGACCACAGTGGAACTGAGGCCTGCGCCAGCACTCACCCCTGTCCAGCAGCGGCTCTATGGTGAGCTGGTAATCAGACCTCTTGACACTATCCTTGAAGGTGGGGATGTTGCGCTCTTGCCGGAAGCTGTAGGACATGGGATACACTGTCTTGATCTGACCCAGGTTGTACTCCTCAAAGCGCCTAGGGGAGGAAACAGGTTAGAAGGAACCAGGCCCAGCCAGCTGCAGATGAAAGAGCAGGCCCAGCCTACCCATAGGCCACACACCTGCGCATCATGTCCTGGACCCCTTGCTTGACCTTGGCAAAGGTCACGGTCTCCGAGCGGTTGTGGAGCATGCCCACAATGGTGTCCATGCTGCGGAACATCTCTGCCAGCACCTGGTACTTGTAGGGCAGCACAAGGCCTGGCGGGCCAGGCAGGGCCAGGGCATGGAAGCGCTGATAAGCAGGCACCTTCTTGCTGCTGTCCAGAGAAAGCCAGGATTAGAGCAGGCCCAGGGCCAACACCACCTCTAGCTCCCAGGAGCAGGGCCGCAAAACCACATACCCATCACAAAACTGGTGTGACCAGGCCTACAGGAAGCAACCCCAGAAAAGGGGCACAAGGGAACGGCTCCCTCTGCCAGTGCTGGCCCAGCCAGGCCTCCCCACCAGCCTGGCCACCCGCTCAGGACTCACCATGGCTGCTGTGCGGGGCACTGAGCCTCCGGCGGGCTAGGTTCCTCAGCACCCGGCTGTGCCCTGCTCTTCAGAGCTTGGACACGCGCGCCCAGCTCCCGAGCCCGCTGGAGGCACGCCTGCAGCTCGGACACGCTGTCCTCGGACGGGACCTGAAGAGGCAGGGTATGAGAGGCGGCGGCCCCCCACCCCGTCTTCCCTCCCCTACTGCCCTGGCCCAGCCTCACCTTGTCCTGTGGGGCCGCGAGTAAAGGCACCTGACCTGCTGGGGCAGGGGCAGCGCTTTTCTTGACCTTCCTGGCCAGCGAACGACCGCTGGGGGCGGCTGGGGAGCTGGGCCTGGAATCCTAAGAGGAAGGAGGCCCCGGCGAGACATGATTGAGCCCAAGACGCACCTGGCCTGCGGGCTGGGACTCCTCTGCGCCCCTCCCGGTGTCCCCGGCGCCCCGGCCCCGTGCTCTGCCCGGCCTGCACGCCACCCCGAGTCCCGGTCCCTGCTCACCACCTCGTGCAGCCTCAGTCTCCGGCGCGCGGGAGGCGCGGGATGGTCGCCCTCGGGCGCGGCTGGCGGTCGGGGGCGCTTGCGACCGCTGCCCGGGGCGAGGGCGGGCAAGGGCCCGGAGGGGCTGGGGGTGCGGCAGGCTTCCTTGACCCGCGGAGCTGCCGACCCCGGGCGGCGGCAAGCGAAGAAATCGGTGACCCGACTCTGCGCCATAGTGAGATCCGAGCGCGCAGGGCTCCGCGCCGTTTTCGCGCCGTTTTCTACTGGCTCCGCCTCATCCGGGACGCACCATCCAGCAGCCCGCAGCGGGTAGAGGAGGGCGCGCCGGCGCACGCGCCCTAGCGACGGGGTCAGGCGCTGGCTTCGCGGGCGCCGGGCGCGTCCCGCCGGCCGCTGCTTCCGGCCCAGCGAGGGGGTGTAAAGTGGATGCGTCGGGCGCACGCGCGCTGAACGGGTGCGGGCCGGGAGGCTCGTCCGGCCGGTGCGCTCCCGGGTGTGCCCTGGGCTGGCCGTTCGCAGGGATCGGGCCTGATGCAGAGGTCCCGACCAGCAGCGACAAAGGAACTGCCTCCAGAACAGCCTTAAAAGACAAGGCTCCCAAATCCAAAGCTCCCCTGGTCTGCGACTCTGGCCTGGGCACCACGCCGGCCTTGAACAAGGCCAAGGGACTTACTGTGGTCCCTCCACGTTTTTATTTTATTTTATTTTGGCAGTACCAGGGATTGAATTCAGGACCCTGAGCTTGCCAGACATGAGCTTATTCAACTGAGCTACCTCCCCGGCCCCCTTCTCCACGTTTTAAAAAAGGAGAGCATGGAGCCAGGGTGATGGCTCAATAGAATAACCGCTTGCCTGGCAAGCGCAAGGGCCTGAGTTCAATCCTCCGCAAAAAACAAAACAAAAACACGAATTGTGCTTATCCAAAACAAAAAAGGAACAGAAATGTCAGGCGATACGATTGGAACTTGCAAAATAATCTCAAGTGTGAGAAGCCTGGCGATTGATGGCAGCTGGGGAGGGGAAGGGAAAGGTGGGGGGCCCCTGAACTGCTTGGCCTAGGAGGCTACAAAGGATCTGCGGGAATGGGGTTGTGCCTCAGCGCTGGAGCTCCTTCCTGGTCTGTGAGAGGCTCTGGGTTCATCCCCAGTTGCTGGAAAAACAAAACCAAAGGACGATAAAAGTGTAAGATCCAGGGGCTGGGGAGATGGCTCAATAGAATAAACGCTTCCCTGGCGAGCATAAAGGCCTGAGTTCAATCCCTGGCTCTTATAAGAGCTACATCTTAAAGTTTTGGTACGCAGGCTGTATCACCCTGTAGAATGTGTTTTTTGTTTGCGAACTCAGGCCCTTGCATTTGCCAGGGAAGCGCTTATTCTACTGAGCCATCTCCCCAGCCCCTGTGTTTGTGATTCTCCTGTTTTCAGCTTCCCAAATACTGGGCACCACCATGCCCAGTTTGCCTAAGCAAGTGCTTTAATCCGCTGAGCTATCTGGCCAGCCAAGAAGGATTTTGTTGTTGTTGTTGTTGTTGTTGTTGTTGTTACTTCAGCCTGCCTTAAGGGCAGGTCTGGTGCAGCTTCTGGAGCTAGGAATCGAACTTCAGTCCTATGTGCCTGACTGCATTTGCCCAAGTGGCACTTCAAACAACTAAACTATCTGGAAAGGCCCCAGAATGTGTTTCTTAAAACAGAAATAATATGCAGGTGTGACACACAGTCGGCCACTGCCCTAGGATGGGTGAGAGCCCAGCCTGGAGCCCCAGCTCAGCTCCCCCAGTAAAAGAAAAAAAAAAAGTGAGATCTGACGTGGAAGGAGCATAACATTTCTGGGGTGATGGAGATGGCGCACGTGGCGACAGGTTAGGGCTAACTAGGTGTACGGTCTTAGGAAGATTTGAGGGCCCGCTCAGATTTGTTGTTTCAGCCAGTCGTGGTGGCACACACCTGTAATGGCAGCACTCAGGAAACTGAGGCAGGACGATCCTTGGGAGTTTGAGACCAGTTGGGGCTACAAAATGAGCTAAAGCCCAGCCTAGGCTGCACACGAGACCCTGTCTCAAAAAGACCAGTGTTTCCTCACTGTGTCACTTCATATAAACTCTATCTATAAACAAATACTGAACTCCAATCAATGACATGCATACTGAAGCATGTTCAGCAGTGACAGTGGATGCGGAAATACATCAGATAAGATGGATAACCGGACGTGGTTGTGCACACCTGTAATTCTAGCACTTGGGAGGCGGAGGCGAGAGGATCACCAAGAGTTTTTGGCCAGTCTGGACTACATGGTGACCTTATCTCATAAAAACAAAAAGATAACAGTTAAATAGATGTGTGACAAAAGCAACTACAGCATTTTTTTTTCTTGTACCAGGGATTGAATTTAGGACCTTGCACATGCCAGGCAGGCACTTAGGCTGCTGAGCTATCTAACCAGCCCTAATTACAGAATACTAACAACAGTGTCTGAGGCATAAGTATAA